GCCAAAAAAAAATAATTTGTATCCCACTTACATTTTTGCAAAAAAAATATAATAAATTTCTTTAAATTTGTTTGCATTTTTTTTGTACTCCAAATTTAGAGCAAAATTTGTGTCGAGAGCAACGTTAGTAAGATGAGTGATGAGATTTCAATTTCATATGGAGGAGATAACATTAACGGTTGTAATAGGCCCTGTTAATGTGGTGGGAGAAAAAAATGATTTCGGAGGTGAATCTGACCGGAGTTTAAAACATATGCCAAAAACCATACTTGTTGACACTTGTTAGTGTCTTCGCTCGCCGTCCGGTTGGAGACAAGCCGAGATCCTCCTTGCTTTAAGATTTGCAATAGCAAGTTTTGGAGGAGTTCATTGTCGAACGAAAGGTTAGTAAGGTTTTTTATTGTTTAGTGCAAAAAACTAAAAGTACCCCTTCTCTTATGTGGATGTCCATCACATGTGTTTGTAAATATGGGTTAATGTAGTGAGAGCCATGCACTCCCATGGCCCTTCTCTCACGTGGATGTCCATCACACGTGTTCGTAAATATGAGCTAATGTAGTGGGAACCGTGTGCTCCCTTGGAATGCGTTCTTTGGTAGTGTCGATTTTTTACTCCCAAAGAATGTGGAATTTGGGTGCTATTCTCACACGAGAACAAGGTGCTTTTTTTTTTCTCATTGTACCAAATGCGTTTCTACTCCATCAAAACACCAAGAACGCACAAAATGTTCTCAAGGAATGTTACCAAACAGGACCTTAAGTTTTTATTAGTTACAATGTGCATACTTCAATGCATTTGTTCTCTTCTTTCAACTAGTAAAAGTGTATGTGCATTGCATGTGGCAATATCAAATGATGATAATGACAATAGTCAACTATCAAATGGCCTTACTGGTTGAATCATTATCCTATTTAACCAGAAAAATGGACTATGATTAAGACATTAATTCATTTTTTTTGTTATTTGTATTTTAGCCATTTCTATCTTTACTAACAATTGTTCTTATTTTTCAAATATATTTTTGTTTAATATGAAGAATATATAATATTAATGCATGTTCAAATATTTCTACAAATTTTATATTTTTATTTTTTATTATTTAATTTATGAGCTGATAATAAAAATTACTTATTTACCAAGAGGAAATGCAATTCCAATATATTGTTTGAATATTGGTTTTTAATATTGTGGTCAAATCAATATATATATATATATTTATATATAATATAATATATGTTATATATATGTTATTTATTTATAAATATGTTATTTATATTGCATTTTTGTAAACTTCTTATATGATGAAAATAGTTGAAAAAATACTTATATTTTCCGTTTTTTCTTTATTTCAACTACTATATTTTCTTTTCCTTTGAATAATTTATTGTTTTTTAAATTAAATCGGGTTGTATTAGATTCGGATATCCAACATATTGATTGGATTCAGATTTGAATCAATATTTATGAGATCCAGTCAGATCTTCGAAGCAAATCAAATTCAAATATACCTTGATTCAAATCCTATATGATCTATTTGCATCCCCACCAAACCATTTGTCTACGACGACCTAGCTAATTAAATTATTGAACCATTTGACATGGTTAGTCGAGTAATGGGTTATACATTAATTCTTTTTATTTTTTATCCTAATTTATATCCCATTTCTATCATTAATGAAAATAATTATCATTAACCACACTTTTTTATATGAGGAATATATACTGTTATAGAATGTACCCAAAATTATCGACAAATTTCTATATTTTCTAGAATTTTATGTATTTTATTTTTTAATAATAACATCCATTTGACATTGATAGTTTAACCACTAACCCATCACTTGGATGAAAAAACCATTTTGCTTTTTTGGTTGATTTTAAATTATGTATTCCATTTTCATCATCAATAAAAGTAATTCTTATTTTCACATTTATTTTTGTTTAAAATGGTGAATATATAACAACTGAATTGTATCAAAATAAATATTATTTATCATACTTATTTCTTTTATATTATTAGTATATAATATTATAGATGTGCCCTAAATTGTTTTATGTTTTTTTGTACTATTCTATTTAAAAAAAAATATTTTTAATTATACATCATGGATTAACCTATTTGACCTGAAAGGTTGAACCACTAACCCACCCCCTAGATAGGAAGATGGTTTTAAGTTGTATTTTGATGTCCATCATTAATAAAATTATGTCTATTTTATCATAGTTATTTTTTTAATATGACAAATATATAATAATAGAATTGTGTCCATTTTTTATTCAAAATTTCTATTTTTTTCTATTTCTTATATTTTTAAATCTGTATTATTTGTTTATGACATCATGAAATTATCCATTTGACCCAAATGGTTGAAGTACTTACCCACTACCTAGATGAAAAATATGATTTTATTTCTATGTTTATTTTAAAAATATAAAATTTCATTCTATTAATAATTATTGTGTATGTATTTATTAGTGGAATTTAATGATGATAAACAAAAGTATAAATGTTGGATTTAATGAGAGAGAATGTGATTTATTTAATGACTTAAATGTGAGGCTTAATGAGAAGTAATTGAATGTACTTAATGGTATTCTTTTAATTACATTTTATGCCTTTTCAATGGAGGTGAACTAAATTTAAGAGGAGTATTTCAGTAAAGAAAAATTCCAAAAGCCAATACCTACTCATTCACACTTTTATAAGTAGTATAAATGTGCAGAGGTTTTGGTTGGGTTCCACAATGAGGATGTGTTGTGGCTACTTGTCTTAGTGTCTTTAATGCATCCTCTATCGAGCCTAAAACCATATACTTACAAAATTATTTATTAATTTATTATTAAATAATTAATAATTTATTTATGAGTCATGAGTCTAATATTAACTCTTAGATGCTTTTTTATTAAACAAGTTCCCCGTACATTCCCCATTGTTTCCCACCAAAATGGTGGGATTCCATATTCCAAGAATTGGGATTTATAACTTCATATTTTCCCTATCTTACCTCAGTAATCATGTTATTGCACAAACAAAACACAGGGATGGAAGAATATTCCATTTTTCTCTTTTCATCCGTCAAACCAAACGGAACCTTGGTAACACTTCAACTATTTTCCAATTGGAAAGCATTTCGAACCAATGATGCATTCAAATTTGAAATTTCAAATTAGAAAGTTTTTTTTTAAAACCAAACGTAGTCTAAGGTTTTAGGCTGATTTTAATCTTAGTGTTTGGATAGCCCTGATTGCTATAAAGACCTACCATTTCAAAAGTCATGCAGCCCCACACTGAAATCTTTTACCTCAAGTTTAGCCAAGCTGTAGATTGTCTCTTCAGAGCTTTCCTGTCCTACTGACAGCGAAGAACAACCAAAAAGTTTCATCCTTCATTTTCTTTTTCGCTTTCATGTCCAACGGCCCAGCGTGGCCCCAACTGTCGGAACTCGGAATTTCCATGACCAAATGGAATACGTCGGAGGACTCCGCCGACCTAATCTCCGGTCAGAGAGAATTTTTTATATATTCCAATCCAACCGTTTTAAGGAGACAGCTGTATCTCTCGCACCTTCCAGAGATGATACAAGATTACACGCGTTGGCAAGAAAAGTATATCTCGCGGTCTCGCCAACGCATGCAGCTCCTTGCATGCGAGCCACGTCTCTTCTTGAAATCAGGAAACTCGATCCAATTCATCTTACTGCGCAAGATCTCGATAGAAACTTTCTCGAGAGGAGGTGAACGATTTTGTTTTTTAAACAGACAATCAGCGTGACTGTCAACACTTTTTTTCTTTAATCTCAACGCTTATATCTAAATCAAACCGACCAAACCGACAAAAGAACTGCAAAATTAACTTTCGCCGATTAAACAGAAGATCCGTTCCCGTTACTCCTCGAATTGCTTTTCAGTTTTCACTATTTTATTTCGTTTCTAGTAAACAACGATTTAATTAGTCTTCTGTTTTTTGTATGGTAAGCTTTAAGGCTGATTCCATTTCGAAATAATATCGGTTTATATCTCGTTTCTCAAAAAGAAACGGAAACAGGGGATTAGGATTTTAAAGAGTTATAGGTCTGCACTTTAATTCAGAATTCAGAAGTGGAGTACAGCCTTCTTTTCTTTACATTTCCCCTCAAATCAAAGTATTTAAAATTTTAGCATAAACGGGAAATCACAACGTTCCATGAACTGCTGTGATATTCTACAAAATGACTAACCAAATCAAAGTATTTGATTTCATGGGCCCTATTGTAGTAGTAAAAATGGTTTATAGGCTGTAGAATCAATGATATTCTACGTCAGTAATAAATTTATGACAATCCTTTCAATTTTTTTCCTTCAATCAAGTTCATCTTCAAAATGTTTTGAGAATGAATGTTTCTTCAATGCTTTGAGATGAATTTGTGCTTTAGCATATGATTATTTTCATCATTTTTATGTTTATTGCTGCTTTGTTGGTAGCCCGAGAATTGTGATTTGTGAAGGATCAGTAATTTTAGGGAAAATTCTAGATTAGTTTTGGGTTTAATGCCATTTTGGCTCCCAAACTTTAAAACACAATAATTTAGTATCTAAACTTTCAAAATGTGTCAATTTAGTATCTACCATTAATTAATTATTAAGTACCATTTGGAAACAAACAAATACCCTTCAAGTGTCATCCAATTCTCTTTATCAACCATCAAACATTAAGAAAAAATGAACAGTCTCAAATCCTTGGCTCTTCTCTTCAAAAAAATTAAAGTCACTAGAATACCAATTTTCTTTAATAGAAGAGGCAAAGATTTGAGACTGTTCATTTTTATCAATATATCAATGACTGATAAAGAAAATTAGATGACACTCAAAAGTTGTTAATGACAAGTATTGAATTGATACATTTTGAAAGTTCGGGCACTAAATTGTCATATTACCCAAAATCAGGATACTTGTTTAGAAATTTGAAAGTTCCGGGGGCATTTTTTGCACACTAGTTACGTATATATATTTCACGAGTCAGTACCGAAAGTTCACAGAAGCTTCACATTTCTCTTTCCAGTCGCCTGTGAGTGTTTGAAGAAAGAAGAGGAATCGGATGTTAATTGTGCTCAGAGAACTACTTGATTCGTACTGCCAAACCGCCGACTTATAAACTGTTAAGCACTCAGGTATGTAATGCTGAAAATCTAAACATTTATATTAAGAGCATGAACAGCACCGCCAAAGTCGAAACTAAACCCTAGTTGTTTTGCCGGAAAACCATATACTGTATGAATGTAACATTAAAAAAATGGTTTTCCCTAGTCTGACCAACATCTTCCTACTGCCCACCTAAAGATTTAACAGCCGGTGTCATCTCTCCTGCGACAGCCATGAGCAATGGTCCATCCAGAGGTTCCTCGCCGTACCATCGCCGATATGACTTCGAATCTGGTGTAAGCCGTGGAAGAGGATGTGAAGAAGACGATAATGAATGTTCCTCAGACCCCTTTGATATCAAGACTACCAAGAACGCTTCCTTGGAACGACTCAAGCGATGGAGGGTAAGCACTCAAATTAATTACGCACTGCATTGGCTTCGTTGGCTATCTTTGGTTGTGTTGATGTTGATAAAACGACTATAAGGTTATTTTGAAAATGGCATACATTCATTACTTATGTTCGAATGGAATGAATTGGTTTGTTATTATTTGGATTATTGCTGTTTTTTGTTGACTAATTGACAATGCTGTGACCCTATGGTAGTAGAGTTCTAGGGTTTATAGTTGACAATAGTATTTTTTTTTTTGGGGAAGCCTAACCACGCGATCTTCATTCAATTTCTCAGTGAAATATCGTTTACAATACAATCAGACAGGAACCCTGGAGTCATAGCCCAAGTCTGGCAAGAAGTAATCGACAGAGAATATTTTACTACCAAGTAAGAAGAAGAATTGGTTAATCTGGATGAATAATTATCTGAGCAATGGGAAAATCTACGTAATAAAGTTCTGCATTCAATGATATATGCGCCAAGGAGAATAAGAGTTGTCCTCAGATAGTGCTTGAATCACCACTAAAGCATCTCTCTCCACTTTTAGATGACTGATGTCCAATTACAACGCAAATTTCAATCCTTCCACGGTTCCACCATTGCTAAAGCCTCTGTTTCACATGTTGAGTGCACGCGAATTCCACATTACTTGACCAAAGCAGAAAGCTCCCCATGAATAACCATGCCCAGCCCCGGTGAGTGAGTTTCATTAGCGCCATCAAATTAAGTGTAAGGAACTGACCTTCAGGCCATCGAAGCACTATCACATATTTGACCAACAGAGAAATCTTGGGCTCATCATACATGTCCTCCATGTTATCCCAAGCATTTAACCACTGCATCAATGTGTTATAGCCATGGCCAGCCATTCGGACCCCCAAGTAGTAGTGATACATGACAATGTATAAATAAGTGGTCCAATGTTTCAGATGCCTCTCCACACAATTGGCAGCAACGATCAATCTGTTGGCATCAATTCATGAGTTTAACTTTTATTGAGAGCATGCCATGTATGTAATGCCAGAGAAATAGATGAATTGGGAATTGTAAATGTTTAATTGCCCAGAATTTCCTCCATGAAACATTCCTGAAGGCATTACTGACTGTAGACGTTTGTGCCTTTTGCATTCTTATCTGTTTGTAACCAGATTTTATGGTTAGTTTGCTGTTAGGAGAGTATGTCCACAAACTATTGCATCTCTTCTTTTTGTTTGGGGATGAATTTTCCAGGAAAACTTTTATGGATTTGGAAAAGGGTGAGAAGAGATGATTTGATTACCCCTGGGGAGGTTGTGGGAAGGTGCTGGTACAAGTTTGGATTGAGTTGGGAAGGTGGGGATGGTGACAGGTGGAGTGAGGCCCTGGTTGTTGGATACTGGAGGTTTGCTTTGGGTGGCTATTGGGTATGGTTTACCTTCTTCAAAAAAAATGTTGCAAATTGTGGGGATTGTGACAGGTGGAGTGAGGCCCTGGTTGTTGGATACTGGAGGTTTGCTTTGGGTGGCTATTGGGTATGCTTTACCTTCTTCTAAAAAATGTTGCAAATTGTGTCACAATCGGTTTTGTCAATTCTTTATCTAGTATGGTGGCACATCAAATTGCAAACCCAACAATGTTTGTAAATAAATCTAGTTAGAATTTTGCTTTCTTAACTGTTTCAGCTTGTGTAGGCAAGTTCCCAATATCCATTAACATATTGTTTATGCATTGGGCTTTTCTGTTGTCTTTAACTCTAAAATATTGTGAAGTAATGTTGCTTCTAAGAAACGCAGATAAGGCGACTAAAAATAGCAATTGGAGTATTGGACAATATAGATTGAGGAGCTTTGTCCTCTGACTAAATCAGTTTTAATAAATCCTACCAATCATAAGTTTGAGGTTGCAACTCCCTAGGTGAGGCATCATAGATTTTTGCCATATTGGTAGGTCATACTTATTGGATTGTGGGTGTGGGTTCTTACTGCTATAAACACAAGTGATGGTTGGCATTGCATCAGTTTATGTTCTAATTTTCAGGAAAGGTGTGGTCTGTGAAAAACAGCCTTTTTGGTGTTTTCTCTTTTTTTTTTTTTTATTTTACTGTTGCTAGCAACAACATACTGACATGGCATTGAAAAATGCCTATGTGGCAGCAACAGCAATGGTCCCAAATAGAAAAGAGTAAAAAAAAAACGTTTTCTGAGAAAACAACATGCTAATGCGGCACTTTCTCAAAAAAAAACCTCTTTAGAAAACGGCATTGGTTCTAAACACCACCTGAACTGTAAAGATGGGTGGTTTTATGTGTTTTGTTGTTGTTTAGTCGCATAGTTTTCAAGGTGCCAAGGCAAGGCTGCCTTGTCGCCTAGTCGCTTAGGTGATGGATTTTTTTTAAATAAAAACATGTATCCTATGGTATTTCCCTAGGTTCCCTAATCATATTTCCTTAATAAATATCCATAATTTTCATAAGAAACGTATAAACTTCATGTTATATAGAAAATTAACATATTCCAACATATTCATGAGAAGAAAAAGAAGAAAGAAAAGAAAATAAAAAAAAAACATAGGGGCTGAACCCCTATTTCTGTTATAGGAAAAGAAGAAAAGAAAAGTAAACACACAAAATTAGTAAAGAAAAATAAGAAAATGTGTTGATTGGACAACATTTTATGTTTTTCCTTGCTTATCGGTTCAGGTTTTGAAGTCTTTGAGGGTTCAATACAGCATTTAGCAATGTTTGTGTTGATTAAATGCTAACAAATAAGAAAATAATAAAAAGAAATTAGTATATAAACACACAAAATGAATATTTTAGTTTAAAAATGTCTATTTTATAATTATAACCTCTAAAAATTAAGAATATAAAAGTTTGTTATAACACGCTATAGTAAACTACTTGGCGATTAGGCGAGGCGAGCCTCCAAGGGTGCCTTGTTGCCTAGGCGATCGCCTTGACAACTATGTTTAGTCGTTATTTTTTGATTTCTGATATAGTGTCATATAGCTGAGACCAAGTATGCATATTTTTTTTTTTTTTTTTTTTTTTTAAATTAAGTTTGACTGGTTTTGTTTCATGCAGCAAGCAGCTCTTGTGCTTAATGCTTCTCGCCGATTCCGATACACCTTGGACTTGAAAAAGGAAGAGGAGAAAGAGCAAATGAGAAGGAAGATTAGAGCACATGCGCAAGTCATTCGAGTAATGTTACTTGTCAGAAAGATATCCTTTTGTGCAGTTATGGTTGTTTTGTTTACTCTCTAAACTTTGAGTTCTTATTTTCTTAGGCAGCACTTCTTTTCAGAGAGGCTGGGGAACGAGTAAATGGTATTCCTTTTCTTAATGTCCCATTATTAAGATTAAAATATTCTTGTGCATGATAAATGTAAGGCATTTATTTTCTTACAATTAAATGCTTTGTATTGGTAATGATCTTGATTTTGATTTTCTTGCTTTTCTTTGTGTTTTATTTTAGGCCTTTTACAGAAATATTATGTGTGCTTACATCTCTTATTTGTCCTTTATAACCACCGATCACTTTACTGAGAGAAAGCTTGCCATTTATCACCACTTTCTCTATTATATATGTTTTGATTCTTTTCGTTACTTGTAATGATGGAGTTATATTCATATTATTGTTGCATATGCCATGAAATTTTGTTCTTGTTTTATTTTATTCTTGGTTGTTGGTTTTAGTATTAGGTCCCTTGGTACCACCACACCCTACTGGTGATTATGCAATTGGACGAGAGCACCTTGCATCAATGACCAGAGATCATAATTTTTCTGCTCTACAACAATATGGGGGGGCAAGTCTCTCACTAAATGTTCTAATTGATTTGATGTACCTTTTGTGTATCCCTATGTGATATACCCATCATATTCCTCCAGGTTAAAGGACTAGCTGACTTGTTAAAAACAAACCTAGAGAAAGGTACTATAGGAGATGATGCCGATTTACTGTCTCGAAGGAATGCATTTGGATCCAACACATATCCTCAGAAGAAAGGACGGAGTTTCTGGGTATAGTTTTGGCATATTGTTTTATTAGAAAGTGTCATTGTTTTTGATAGTTGAAAAGTGTCATTATTTTCATCACTAGTTTTAGTTATGATGGTTCTGCTATTGGGTCCATTTATTTATGGATGTTATATTGTTGTAGATGTTTCTTTGGGAAGCATGGCAAGATTTAACCCTTATCATTTTGATGATAGCTGCTGCAGCATCCTTGGCACTGGGAATAAAGACAGAGGTGAGATTGGCTGTGGTATATTTGACTTGTTTTTACCTCAACTTCTAACTAATAAAACAATGTGGTTATTCATTGGTGAGTATGATTGTAGCTACCAAATATATGTACCGATAATCTGTTATCATCTCTTGAATAATTTTCTGTAGCAAATACCTATTTGGCATGCAGAATATATGGATCAACTTATTGGCCAAACTCCAAGATCGACCCGCTTATTGGGCTCACTTTAGCAAAGCAAGGGTTGAATAAGAATCACCTTTTTTTTGGAAGAATTATATATACGTTAAAGCGGGGAGTGATAGCAATGCTATGCTGTCAATCTATGTATTATATAAGACATATGCATTGCATCTTAGTTTAAGAATGCTGCGGTTAAGTGTTTACAACACATAGAAAAATGCAGTTGAGTTATTTGAATTTTATCTTAGATTTATGCTCTCAATCTATGTACAAGTTGTAGACTTTTTATTCCCAACCATATTAGATTCATATAAACTATACATTTCAAATAATAAACTATTAACTTTTTCCTTTTGATTTTCAATTTCAGTATTCATATTTTCACAATATGATTCAAGTAAAATATCTACACCATCTTTTTTAATCCTAAGATCTAATATTGCAGCTAAACAATAAAGAGGAGAAATGTTCTCCCAATATTTTTTAAATTTATTTTTCATTATTTATTGATAAAAAAATTATTTTCCATTATTTCAACAATACTTTTAAATTGTGGATTTTTTCTGTATTTAGCAAAACATTCACTAATCATGAATAATTGATTAACTAAAAGACAACTAGTTGGGTAATAAACACCCGAAAATTCCTTAGTTGTATCATAAAAGTTGTGCAAAAAATCTCTTATATAAATGACCATTTCCCAATCTTCATCAAGTATAATATCATGTGGTATTTTAGAATTATAAAAATCAGAAAGAATTTGTTTATAGGGAATACAACTTTCTAACATAAAATAGATAGAGTTCCATCTATGTTGAACATCTAACATAAAATGTTTAAATTTTAAACCATAATTATGACATAAATATTTTAATTCTTGTTTTCTTGCTCTAAAACTTTTAATATATATAATCCAATTTCTAATTTTAGAATTATGATGAGAAATAATATTTAAAGCATCTTGAATACATAATTAAGATGTGATTTGCACATCTAATATGAAATAATTTACCATTAAAATGGGGTTTTAATTGAGATTTTAAATTATTTATTGTTGACATTACCAAAACTAATAGAAAATAGTTTATTGTCAATTCCATAAGCATGCTAAGTGTTTAAAATACTTGCAACAATAGCTGGCCTAGTATGTGGCCATTCAAGCCTAGTAAAACTTAAAATTCTTTTTTGTAAAAACCAGTTTTCATCCATAAAATGACTAGTGACACAAATATAACTTAAATTAAATTTAGAGGTCCAAGTATCAGAAGTAATTGCAATTCTAGAATTAAGATTTGATAAAGTAGAAATTAAAATTTGTTTATATGAATAAAAAACTTTCAAGGCATATGCTCTAATAGTATTTCTAGAATTTTTTTTTTTAAATTGAGGATTTATAGAAGGACGTAAAAATTTTTCAAGTTTTTTGTCCTCAATTAATGAAAATGGTTCTTCAACATGTACAATATATTTTGCCAATTTTTGCCTCATTTTTTCTTGAGAAAATTTAAAAGTACCAAACCCCCCCTCCTAATTTGTGTTTGGGATTTTTCTTTCCCTTCATCTTCTTGTTTCTCATGGGTGGGTAGATGTCTGCCCAAGTGGCCAGTACCACCCTTAATACAATTAGCTAAAGTCATTCCTACACTTTTGGCAAACAACTTTTTTCCTTTTCCCTCAACCTCCTTTATTTTAAATAGTTTCCAAACTGGGTTAGTTAATTTAGTTCCCTACTTCCCTTCCTTTACCCCCAACAATAGTACCAATACTAGGAGTAGGAACTCCAATTTCATTAGCATCCATATCATTATCAATGCTAATGTTGTCATGTTGTGATCGAATATCATTGACATTGAACATGTTGGGCAATTGGTTTCGGTAGGAGCCGACCATTTTTTTTTAATCTAAAAAAATTAAAATTAATTTAATTGTACTCACCTAGATTGCCAGTTCATAATCTCAACTTGATTTCAATGGTCGAAGCCTCCCAACTTGCTAACTGAGATACTTGAACAAGCCTTCTTCTCATTGAAACTTGAAAAAAGTCAAGACTTGTCAATTGGAGAGTAGAGAGAGTATTGAGTGTATGAGACTATGAGAGCTTGAGAGAGTATGAGAAGAGAATTGCTGAATTGGTGTGGTGAGAATGGTGTAGAATTGTGTTATTTATAGCAATTAAAAGTAATTCAATTGCCTAAAATACCCTAAACACTAGTCATTTTTTATTTGTTGGGAGGGGTATTTTGGTCATTGTAAAGTCATTTATTACTTTACCTAAAATGCCCCCAAACTAACTGTTATGTAGATGTGGGGGGGCATTTTTGTCATTTTTTGTCCCCCAAAGCCAAATACATAAATACCTCCCTTATATAGTTGTTGGGGGGTATTTTTGTAATCCCCCCCCAAAAGATCAAACTAGCCGTTGGGGGGGGGTCTTCAACGGCTAGTCGTTGTGAGCCTGCAGGCCGTGTCGGGAAGTTCCATGCCGGCTTGTGGACTTGAAACCCTCGGCCTAGCACAACCCACACAATCGTGTCATGCTTGGCACGTCTGTGTGCTGTCGTGTCAGCTGGTGTAAAATCTACCTATAATGGTCTTTGACACCTAACCTCTTGGCCCATAGTCATCAAAACACTGCCCATAGGGAAGGACCTCTTCCTTGACAGTAAAAAGCAGTGTCATACTCTCTGTTTGGATGGATTCCAGGATTAAAGACAGGTTAGTCCAAAACCTAGTGTAGTATCATAATCACGTTTTGGGATTAAGTGCAACTTTTCAGTTTTGCCCGTCTATCTCTAAGGTCCAGGGCATAAATTGAAATTGATTTCTAAAACAGTAGTAGTTGCTTGGGGTCTAATCCTAGCAGCTGAGACAAGTTGCTCCACTAGTTTAGCAGCACACCGGTGTTAGTTTTGTTAGGATATACTCCCCAAGTTTATCCAAAGGTTGAGAATATTCTAAACTAACACGATTCTATTAAATGTCCAGTTTAAGGAGTAATTCACAGAAGCACACCAGTAAGAGCATGAAACAATAATGTACTTTATTCATTTATTGATAAATGTTTATGTACATCAATCTGATTGTAGTTAAGGGCATATACTGTTTGACATTAATCACATCATTAGTGGTGGTGAGATCAAGGAGTTGCCTCTAGTGCAAGTTAAAATCACTTGGTCCAACATTCAAAGTGATCGGATATGCTACAAGATTGAGAGGGTTAAATTGTAGGCCTTGCCTCATTTCTAATCTCTAGTAAATGTGCACATGCGTTGCACGTGGAAATTTTAGATAATAATAATTGTAATAACAATAATAATATCATAGATATGTCTAGATATTTTGAAATTTCTTATATAATATTTTATATTTTTATCTAATTTTTAAAATTTATTATTTAATTATGTCATCATGAGCTGTCCTATTTGACATTACACAAAAATGGATTTATTTTTATGAAATTTTAAAATTTTTGCTCAATTTTCATTATCAAGAACTCCCAATCCACAGAAGGGGCATAATCAGTCTGAGAATGATTTCTACCTTTATAACCTTGGTGCCAAAAAGTCTAATGCCACATTCCCTAAGGATTTTGGACTTATCAGATTAGGTACTAGCATCTATAAAATTATTGTTAAGGTGTTGTCTATGAGGACTAAGAAAGTTCTCCCTCTGATCATCTCTTATTAAATCCTCATTGCTAATGAATGTGTGAAGGCCTAAAGGATGGGAGTTACTGCCTTAAATATGGGAACTAATGAGGGAATGGAATGCATTAAAAAGGAATATTCAAATTACAATTTCTACCCTCACAATAGAGATGGACCGAATTCAAAAAGAGGGGTATTTTGGTCAAGAGAAGTTCCAGAAACCATGGGGATCTATTAGTAGTATAGATTGGCCTATAGGTTTAAAAACGTGTGGCTTTGTCACCAAGATTTCAAACAAATGTAAAGGGGTGGTGGGCGGCGAGAAGGACAACAATTAAATGGAGAGGAATTAGGTTTCCAAAAACGCTGCAAATGTTCAAAGAAAAGATTAAAGAATGGAATTTAGAGCACTTTGAGAGGCTGGAGGAGAGGAAGATGAGTATAATTGAGCAAATTGTGGAGCTGGACAAGTCTCAAGGAAATTTTAGGGAAGAAGATAATGAATCAAGATGGGAGTTGAAGAGTTAGCTTAAGGACATTTTATACAAAGATGTTAGTTGGGGGCAGATGTCTAGATATAAATGGATTAAGGAGATGCCAACCAAATTTATATCTAGACATCTGCCTAGAATCGGTTGCCTTGCCTATAATTGTGTCCAGATTGGAGATTGAAAAAGGGTGGGGGGTGATTAGTCCACAGGAGATGGCTAGGAATTTTGTAAATCACATCAAATCTATTTAGTTTTGGATTGGCTGAATTTAAGCAGGGGGTATAAGGAGATGCTAGAAGGGCATTTTGATATGGTTGGAATAAGGGGGCCTTTTTTTTTGCATCAATAGATCAAGGCCCTGAGGCCGCATGGTTTTACCATGGCTTTCTTTCAAGATTATTGGGACATTTTAAAGTGTGATCTATTGGATGTCTTTGGAGAATATTTTGAGAGGGGAGTAACTAACTTGGGTCGGGAGTGAATGTTCTTAACCTTGATTCATTAAAAGTTGGGAGCCTTTCAACCTAAAGATTTCAGATGTACAGTCTGGCAACCAGTCTTTATAAAATCATTGCTAAGATCTTGTCTTTAAGGTTAAAAGTCTCCTCCCTTTGATTACCACACCCAATAAAGGAGCCTTTGTGCAAAATAGGCAAATAACAGATCAATTTCTTGTAATGAATGGGTGTATGAAGAGGTGAAGATGCAATTTGTAAGTTAGACACAGAAAAACAACTTGTGATTTGGTGGATTGTTTTTTTTTTTTTTGTTGGAAATTTTGAGGAAGTATTTTCTTTAGTTGTAAGTTGGACATAGACAAAGGTTACCATTTGGTGGATGGTCTTCTTTGCATGTGACCAAACAATCTTAGTCTACTTTCCATCAATTTATCAACCATTGGATCTATTCCTAGGTTGTTGCTTTGAATGAGTCTATAATCCAGGGAAAGACCTCCCTGGGTTATCAATCTTAGTCTATTGTCAATCATGCATCCTTTCTAGTTTTAGGTTGGATGCATTGCTTCAAACACCCACATGAACTTGTTTGGGCTTGCTTCATAAGGTCTTATGGAGGTGGTGGACTAATCTCCTAGGATCAGGAGTGTAAGATGTTAACAACACACTAGTTACTTGATGTAATGCAACTAGGAGATAACTATACACATTGGAAGTTTATGCTGTTGATGCTTGGAGCACTTTGGTACGATACACATGTTTGCTTCACTTCGGCATTTTCACTCAATGTGTTTTATATGTTATGCTTCTGTATTTTAGTTTTGAGCAAGCATGTTTTCTAAATATTTAATTGTAGAAAAAATTAGTTTGTTTTTTATCTATATATTGTTTTGTACTTTTTTTTTGAAGTTCTTAAAAGATTTTTGCCTTCTTTTAAAAGTGTGCATGCCTCTCCTTGCCATTGCACTCAGGCATCAGAAGGCCCTTGTGCTTTTCTTGTGCATTGTGCTTTTAAAACACTGTATGCTTATATCTATGTCTATCTATGTTTATTTGTTTTGATTGATATTTTTGCCATTCTACTATCTAATATAGGGTATTAAGGAGGGCTGGTATGATGGGGGAAGCATTGCCTTTGCTGTTCTTCTTGTTATCGTTGTTACAGGTACACCATTCATCATTCCTGCCTGTTTTAATGTGCTTAGTTTAACCCTTTCATTATTGTTTTGGTCATAACTTTGTTTTCATATATTAGGTATATGTAGCATGTTTTGAATTGAACATGAATTAACTTTTTTTTTTCCTGCGGTCGGGATTTGTGCAATTTCACTTGGTTCATAATATTTGATTAGTTCTTGTTTTCTTATTACTTTTCTGAATTCCTTCTAAGTTGTCATGTCATGACGTGATTGTCCTTTGGTTCCCAATGCATTGGAATGAATTTGCAATTGTGTATTGTTGATTCGCAAAGGAAAAAAGCAAAGCTGAAAATGAGTGGGCTTTGGCAATGGTTAGGAAATGCTGTTATGTAGTCTAAACTCTAAAGCCTTTGCACTAGTAGATTTCCCAAACTAATTCAACCTTGTTCTTTGATCAGTTATTCATACTGAAGGAGAAAGAAAAGAGGATGATGTCCATGGGATAAAGGTATGGTGGTTGAAGTGCAAAGTAACCAGCACCATGAGCCACTTGATGCGTCATATGAGGAAGGGGGTGAAACGGTTTCTAGAGTCTTGACTGAATAGGATGATGAATAGGCAAGGGGTGATGCATGATAACCCATACCCACTTGTGCAATTACCTTGATTTACTAAAGGCAACCTAGGAAGAAGTGAAGGAGAGGAAAAGATGGAAAAGACAAGAGATTGGAGAGCCAAAAGAGAAAGTGGCAGCCCCCACTCATAATTTTATTAGAGTGAATATAAATTAGGTTGAAAGGACAATAATACCCTTGCATCACTAAACATACATATTATAACACTTCCCTCAAGTTGGGTCATAAATGTCAGTCATCCCCAACACATTAGATGAATCATTGTGATGTTGGGTAGTTATACCTTTTGTGAATACATCAGTCAACTGATTTAAAGAACTAACATATGCAATACATATTTTGCTTGTTTCCAACTGTTCTCTAATAAAATGCTTGTCTATTCCCATGTGCTTGGCCCTGTCATGTTGGACACATGATTATGAGCTATTTTTTTTGATAGATAAAATATCATATTTCCATTAATTCAAAGACCGATTACATGAACATACCCTTAAAGAGGCATGAGGTGCCGTTTCTCCAAACAGAATGCACATAAACTAAAGCAAACAGTACAAGAGTGCTAATACAAAATTACAGTAGAGCCAGAATACTGTTTCCTCTTCGTCCATTGTTTTGTGAAGACATCAGCAAATGTATTAGCTGATCTCCCAACCCACTATATTATTACAAACATATTCCTTGTCAGCCATTTGTATTTCTTTAGCTCATTTTTGTAACCCCACACGACATCATCCAGATTATTTAGCCAATCCACCACTATCTTAGAATCCTATTCAATCATCAATTATGAGCTATATTGATGGTGTCACAATAGAAAGACATTGGGCTGGTTATTGGAAAACCAAATTCAAGCACATTTTCACTCACAATATCTCTGAAACTCCTTGAGCCATGGCATGATTCTCTCCCTTAGTATTTGATCTAGCAACTATTGGTTTTTTTGTTTTTTGCTTCACCAAGCTTTTTACAGATTGTCATGTCAGAACAGTAAAAAAGTAGGCTGTTTTACATGCTGAATACCCTAACCTCTATCTAGTATCATTTGTCATAACCTATCCCTCTCTAGTCCTTTAAGGCTTTAACACAGGTGCAAAAATATCATATGAATGTCTTCTGTCATTCTTCTTCCCGTCATTATACTCCCACTTGAGCAGCGTTCTTTCTACATTCTGGTAATTGGAGAATTGGTTTTCATTAAAAACCCTACTTGTTGGTTAAGAGTGAAAGCTAGAAACAACGATCAAATGGAAAGTGAAGCCTCCATGGTAGAAATAATGGTCACTGACAAAGGGGAAGGGAAAGGGAAACTTGCAGTTTTTGAAAGTAAGAATTTTCAGTTTCTCTAGCGAAATATATCGCTTATTAATCACACATTCACACTAGCACAAGTTCATCCAAAAAAGAGGGAAAGACGCAACACCCATGTCATATCGTTTGCAACTGCAAGCATCACTCTTGCTGAATCTCAATGAAAAATCAAATGGTTTGTTGGTAACCAACTTTGTTGGCTCCTGGGTAAGCCATTGGTTTTTTTCCCTTCAATATAAAAGACTGAAAAAACTGTGAAACTGAACCAGTAAACTGGTTAACCAGTAAATTTTGTTTAGTACTTTTGAAAAAACCGAAGCTACTGGTTCAGCTTCAACTATATGCCCATGGTTTGGTTAACCGAACTGTGAGCATGACTACCAGAAGAGCTCTTTCTCACACATACAAAAGGGACCTTTTTATGTCTAATACCGACCTTAGACTAAATGAGGGACCACTTCCATTGTTATATTACAAACTTATCCAATGGTTGAAAAATAAAACGCATACCCAACACAAACATGGTGTGATTTGCTTGACATTATTTAAGCCCCGTGTGTTGGTCAACCTTGTTAAACCTCCTATATCATGCTCTTGGAGATTGTTTCAAACGTTCAATCTATACAAAGACTTTAGGTGGCGAACTTTCCCTTCACTACCTTTAGCAGGAAACCTTAATGGTAATACCATATACACTTCCTCTTCTAAGTCCATTTAAAAAAGCATTCTTTATGTCAAGTCGATGAAGATGCCTTCCCAAGTTAGCAGTTTAAGATAAGTGAACATGTATGGAGTTCATTTTTTCTGTTGGAGAACATGTCTCTATATAATTTGCACCATACATTTGGGTGAAATCCTTGCCTACCTTCTTGCCTTTATACCTCTTAATGGATCCATGAGCTTGATGCTTCACAAATAAGACCCACTTGCACCCCACAAGCTCCTTTCCTCAAGGAAGATATCCACCAATTCCTACTTCTTGAAGGGCACTAATTTTCTCTAACATGGCATTTGGTCAACTCAATTAATTTTAGGGCCTCCATACCATTTTTATGAAGAGAAACACTAGAAATAGCATTGGTATATAGGGATGTGAACGGTATTCGAAAATCCGATATTCGCCATAATCGAATCGAATTTGGATAATTCGAATATCTAACCGGTCGAATTCGGATATGACTTGATTCAATTTGATAAATATCCGAATTCGATCGATTATTTAATTCTTATATAATATATAAAATATTTTATATACTTTATATATACTAATTAAGTTATATATTTATATACTTTATATCAATAAAATATTTATTTTATATATTTGTTAATTATTTAAAATAATTAATTAATCGAATTCGAATCGAATTGAATATTTAAAATAATTAATTATTTAAAATAATTAATTAATCGAATTCGAATCGAATTGAATATTTAAAATAATTAATTATTTAAAATAATTAATTAATCGAATTCGAATCGAATTGAATATTTAAAATAATTAATTATTTAAAATAATTAATTAATCGAATTCGAATCGAATTGAATATTTAATCGGATTCGAATTCGGATATTAATTTTTAATATTCATTGGACATTGAATCGAATTCGGATACCAGATTTTCTAATCAGATTCGAATACGGATATCGACTGATCCGATTTGAATTCGATCCATTTACACCCCTAGTGATATAGGCATATTAAGCCTTGTCTCTTGAGAGCCCATTGATACAAGGTTTATGATCTTTGGTTGCTCATATCTTCAGATAAATGATGGTCCTTCTAATGATGAGAATAGACTTGAAGAGGTTGCAAATGAGGAGGTTAAGATTGAGGAAGGGTGATATGGATGGACAATGGAAGTTGATCACCACAACATGTCTCCCCTCGAGGGGAGGCAAGGATGTAAGGCTGAGACTCAAAGTACAATACATCCGTGACTTTTGTAACACAGACCAAAACATTTAATTTTTTTTTGATGAAGGATAACTAAGGAAAACATGTGGAGACTTGGTATCTAGCTTCTCATGAGGGGAGAGGTCACGAACAAAACACTTGCATTGAAAATTACAAAGTGGGTAGACGTCGGAAATAACTAATGATGGGGGCCCCAAATTGTGAGATTCTCGTAGGCATGTGATTAATCAAGTAGGTTGTGGCAAGAATTGCATCTTCCCAGAAATTCTTTGGTACGTTCTTTTGAATCATTAACTATGAGCAACCTCCAACAAATGTTTGTTCTTCCTCGCAATGATCGTTTTGTTGTGGTGTCGGTGGGCAAGGTCTTTGATGCAACATCCCATTGTCTGATAAAAACAAGTAAGATTTTTATTGGGTATTGTTTTTGCATTGTCTGACTTAAAAACTTCAATCTTCATATGCGGGGAGCACATCATTCGAAGAAAATCTTGTATTATTTCTAGGACTTCTTTTGACTGAAGTGGATATACCATTGACTGCAATAGAAGTAGGGCCACAAACATTAGTGAAACAACATGAAATATAGACTTAGCGCGTATATTGTTCAGAGGGAAAGGAAGGAAGTTCTACAATGTTTGCTCATTTGGCATGTAGAACATTACAACGATGAGAGGGACACTAAATTACATAACTTCAGAAATGACATTATGAAAACAAGATCCAAACGACAATTCCACAAATAGATTTGGCTGTTGCTACACTAATTGATAAGTTCTCTCATAAGACAAGCAGGTTTAGATTTCTTTAGGCTAGCTCCATCATCCAAAATATAAAGCCCATCAAACATATATCCCCCTTCCAATTGTTCTCCTTGAAGTCAAATCTTAAAAGACAAAAGAACTTTGATAAAAAGGTTATAGAATAGTTGTGTGATTTGGTAATACTTTTAATGAAAAGAAGATTAATAGGAAATTTTGGAACATAGGGACTAAGTGAATATCACTGGGGACTAGGGAGAAATATAATTCCTTGAGAAGCAATGGTAGAGAAAGAACCATCTGCCAATCTCACCTTCTTCTGGACAATAGTTGGACAGTTGCTGAGAGGCAAAGTGGCTAGGTTTATTAGTTATATGTTTGGAAGCCTCAGAATCAATTATCATCATTTGAAATAGAGAAACGCTTAGCGACGTGGAAAAGGAATTATATCTCATTGGGGGGGGGAGAATAACCCTAATTAAATCCACTTTAGCAAATCTTCCAGTGTTCTACATGTTAGTGTTTAGGATGTCACAAGGGATAGTGAGGAAAATTCAAAAAATCATGAGGGATTTTCTTTGGGAGCCAGGGGAAAAGCAGAAGGATCATTTGATTTGATGGGAAAATGTGAGGAAATTGAAAGAGGAAGGGAGTTTGGGAATAACTAATGTTAGACTGAAGAATCGGGCTTTGCTTAGCAAATGGCTTTGGAGGTTTCCAAATGAAAATGATAAATTATGGCACAAAGTGGTTGCAAGTATTCATGGCATGTCGAGCAATGGATGGGATGTTGGATGTCTCTGTAGGGCTAACTTGGCTTCTCCCTAGAAGGCCATCCGTGATGTTCTCCCTTCATTCGTAAATTTTATTAGGTATGATTTGTCTTCTGGTAGCAAAATCAGATTCTGGGAGGATTTGTGGATTAGGGATATTCCTTTAGGTGAGAATTTTTCTTCTCTTTGGAATGTTGGATGTCTCTGTAGGGCTAACTTGGCTTCTCCCTAGAAGGCCATCCGTGATGTTCTCCCTTCATTCGTAAATTTTATCAGGTATGATTTGTCTTCTGGTAGCAAAATCAGATTCTGGGAGGATTTGTGGATTAGGGATATTCCTTTAGGTGAGAATTTTCCTTCTCTTTGTGATCTGTCCAGGTTCAAGGGTAAGCCTATTTCTGATTTCCTAAGCCATCCTTCTCACCTTTCAGGGTTTAATTGGAACTTTGGATTTAACAGGAATCTTAGAGAGTCCAAACTTCTTGCAGTATCTGAGTTGTTAGGATTGCTGAATTCAGTTTTCTTGGGGGAAGGTGGGTCAGATTCTAGAGTTTGGGGTCCTAATTCTGATGGATCTTTTTCTTGCAAATCCTTTCTACATTCGATTGTTGCCACACAATCTTCTCTTCATTTTCCAGTCAAAGAATTTTGGTGCCCTCCTATTTCCCCTAAAATCAGTGCTTTTTGTTGGGAAGTTTTTTATGGTTGTATTAATACCTTTGATAGGAAAAGACCAAATTGGTGCTTGTCCCCAAATCGGTGTGTCTTGTGTAAGTTGAGTGGTGAGACTGCTTTCCACCTTTTTATATCTTGCTCTTTTGTCAGTTTTATTTGGAATTTGTTTACTTCCCTTTTCGGGTGCAGGTGGTCCTATCCTGGCAGGGTGGAAGGCTTATTCAACCCTAATGGTATCAGCGGTAAGACAAGGACGGGTAGGATTCTTTGGAGGTGCACTAGAGCAGAAATACTTTGGACCATTTGGGAGGAAAGAAATGATAGAATATTTAAAAGTAAAGAAACATGCAAGGAAGCTTTAGTTGAAACAATAACATTGAGGGTGGCACACTTGGTAAAAAGCTTAAAGTTGTTTTCAGATTTTAAGGTCGAAGACTTTTTCAGGGTTTGGGGACTTATTGCTGCTTCATCATCTATGAGATGACAAGTTTTTGAGACTTGGTCCCCTCCAATAGATGGTTGGAAGAAGCTGAACTTTGATGGGAGTTGTGAGGGTAACCCAGGCCCTTCAGGTATTGGTGGGGCCATTAGAAATGAAAAGGGTTCCATCATTGCTCTGTACTCTGGTCCTGTGGAGGATGGTGATATGGCAAGGGCAGAGTTTCTAGCTGCAGTATATGGGGTTGAGAAGGCTAAAGAGTTGGGGAGTAATAGACTGATCATCGAGGGAGACTCAAAAACTGTGATAAAATGGTTGTAGAAATGGGAAGGGGTGACATGGCAGTTGAAGAATGATTTCAGAAGATTTAAATGGATGTCAAGGAATTTGTCAATTCAGGTGGTTTGGGTTAGGAGATCGGCCAACAGTTAGGGCAGATAGCTTAGCAAAGCAAGGGGTTCAAAGAACATATATGTTTTGGGCACATTTGTAATTCTGTCCTGGGTCAGCTTCTATGCTGATTTCTATTGCAACTTCTTGTTGTTGTGTCCTAAAGCATCTTAATTAATGAAAAATTTTCAGAGTTATTGATTAAAAAAAAGAGGAAACATAAAGTGCCCTGCTATCCTTTTCCAGCTGATCTCATGGAACTAAGTAGATAATCCGAGGTACAGAATCCATCGAGTGCTTTTGAGTAGTCATAATAGTAGTGTGGTTGGGATGAATTGCTGATCCGCTATAAGTGGCTGATTCTTCTTCTGCCATGTTAACCTCCTAGGACACTTCAATAAGTTGAAAAGACAAGCTACAACAGGAAATAAGGGCTGTATCAGTCTATATAGACCACCCTAACAGCTTTGCGCATCAGCCATTGTAACCAGGCTGTTTGGGCACAACTGATTCACAAAGTGCATTGCAAGATTTGCTCCTATGGTCTCCGAGTTCCAACAGGCCTTGGTATGTACCATTGGATGTGAAATATATTCAAAAAGTTTCCACATCAGTCCTTTATTCAGGTCTGTAGAGAATATCCTTGGTGTTACCACCAAGGGAAAAGAATAAGAAAAAAGGGTTTTTCTACCTTTGATCAGTCCAGGAGGTCCAATCTCCAAGGTCTGTTTCCTTGTCTTTTTAGATCACCTGATGGAAAAATTGGTCAAAAGGGGAGAAACTTGAGAGAACTATTGCTCAATTGCTTTGATACCACAAAAGCAGCCCTGGAAGAAGTGAAGAAGAAGAAAAAGGGAGATGAGAGATAAGACAAGAGATTGGAGAAAATGTGAGAGTGGTGCTCCCACTCGTTATTTTATTAGAGTGAAATAACTAAGATGAAAGGACAATAATGCCTCTTGCATCACTAAACATACATATTAGAACAATTACCGAAATGATTTGTCATTATAATACTGAACTACTTGGGACCTAAGAATTTTGTAGAAACTTAGGATTGTTTTTAATCATTTTGATATATCATGAGTGAGGTTACTTTGTGGCCAATATTCTTGATATTTTGTATGACTGGTAGTGATTCTAGGTTTTTGACAATGTTCAATAAGGAATTCATACCCTTAGACAACAGGGGAGAATCTTCTAGTTTCAGGGAATCTTGATTAGTCTCAAACTTTGACTGGGAAATCCTAGTTGCACTTGGACTCCTATATTCATCCTCGGATAACATTTGGTTAATTGTAGATAAGTTCCCTTTGGAATGAGATTCCTTGAGAGGAATCCTTGTTGCATAGGGACTCTTGTATTTATTCGTAGGTCACTCCAAAGCAAGTGCAAGAAGGTTTTCTAGTTGGACTGTTAGAAAGCTTCCTAGTTTGTCTGGGGCTTCTAGAAGTCTCACAATTTTATTAATAACACTCTGAATTCTAACACTCCTTGAGAGGAATCCTAGTTGCACTAGGATTCTTATAGAAAATAAAAAATAGTAAACATAATACTAATAAGAAATATAAACTTAAATTTTAAAATTAATGGTCCTATTATCTAAAATTAAAATACATAAACATAACATGTAAAGCATATTCAAATGAAAATTTAAAAATATCAAACATATAAAACATTTTCAAGCATGTAAAGACCACAATCTCTTTTTTTCCTCAATTGCATTTCTTCAAGTAGTTAATGTGATGTAAAACATATTACATTCCTGATCTTACGAGTTGCCTTTGTGCCACGCCCCTCGAGGCAAGCCCAAACAAGTTCATGTTAGGGTCTTAAATTCTTAATTCTCACACAGAAAATAATGATTTTATAATTTTAATTGCCTTTTAAGAAGATATTTTATTAAGATGAATGAACGAACAACATTAGCAAATAGGGGGTTCTTGGAGCCCCCGACCCAGCAGCTAGGTTTAAAAAAAGCAAAAAAGCGTACAATTTTCAAAAGGAGCGTTCCTGGGCCAAGGAGCAAGGTGCATCAGGTGCACGCCTAGGCGCACCATGTGTGCACCTTTTGAAGTGCTGCGCCTAGGACCTGGGCGAGGTGCCTACCCTAAAATGCGCCTCGCTTGTGCGCCTGAGGCACACCTTTTAAATCACTGCCTGGGTGTGCATTTTGAAAACTGTGCTTCAAAAGAGTTTTAGAACTTATTACTATAATGGCAAACATTGTATTTTGCAAAATGCTTTTGCATTGAATAACTGACTTGTTATGTGACTTCGTGAGACATGATTTCTAGGTGTAGTCAGAGTTGAGACAATAATTTCTAAGTAGTTTCCTAGTCTTTGATATTATTGTATGGAAAGATTGAGTTGTCGTTAAATGTTGCATTTAAGAGTTTGTTGGAGTTTTTCTCCAAGGGGTATTACTGCATGTGTTATCAGGCCTCTTTGCAATTACAGGTCTTTCTAATCCTTACCATAATTAGAGATATGGGAACAAAGGTTTCAATCCAAGAGTGGTGTGGATTGACAATGTATCCTTGTGCAAAACTGTAACCCTAAGTAATAGAAACCCCAATTGGAACTGACAACCCCTAGTGAACCAGAACTATTGATCTTTCCTGCATGAATCTTGACATTCTCATATCTTGTCACATGGCCTTTGGTTTAATTGGTTAGAATTGTTTTTTGTCTTTGTTTTCTTCCAAAACATCATGCATCAGGAGGCTGCCTATTTATATCTACCCCTTTTTAATGCATGTGCACAGAACACACATTTATAAAAAAAAGAAACAAAAATAAAAAGGACAGGTGTTATCTTCTTGTTTTACTTTTTGTTTTTTTCTTTTTCTTTTTTTTTCTGAAATTTACTGTGAACTATTTCATTATTTAGTTGTACTGGAGTAGATCCTATTCTCTTGTTTACTATTAGTTTTTATTTTTATTTGTATAGCTGTCAGTGACTATCGACAATCCCTTCAGTTCCAGAACTTAAATGAGGAGAAGCGAAACATACGGTTGGAGGTGGTCTTCTATACTTATCCATTCACTTCTTATACTTATGTTATCTAGACACATTTATGTCCATGTATTGTTGTTTTCAGTGTTGTAACACTTGGACTGGACATAAAACCAGAATGCTCATTGGGTTGTGCTTTTACCATTTAATGGGTTCTTAGCCCATTTGGACCATGAAAATCATTATTTGACTGGGACCTGAAAAGGTCACTGAGTCACTGGTTCAACCATCAGGGTCCATGTCTTACAACACTTGCTGTTTTCCTACCATGCTGTTAACCAGGTACGCCTATTTAACCTTTTAGTACAGGTCATTAGAGGAGGTAGAAGGGTGGAGATTTCAATATTTGATATTGTTGTTGGTGATGTTATACCTCTTAAAATTGGAGATCAAGTAAGTGGATTGTGATTACTTGCTTCCGGTTGGTTGTATTGCACATGCTCAATCTATATCACATTTTTATTTTACTGTTCCAGGTTCCTGCTGATGGAATTTTGATTTCTGGTCATTCTCTTGCCATTGATGAATCTAGCATGACTGGAGAGAGCAAGATTGTAAGATTTTCTTACTTTCTCATTTTATCATGTGTCTAATAATTTTAACTGCTTGCTAAGCGTGGGTCATTTGCAGGTTCACAAAGATCAGAAGGCTCCATTTTTGATGTCTGGATGCAAAGTGGCTGATGGTTATGGAACCATGCTGGTAAAACATTATATTTTCCATTTTTTGCTCACTGTGCACCATATATGGTTGCATTCTGCATGCCGTAGCTTTGGGTATAGCTGGCATGTGACTTGTTAGCTAATATATCAATGACTAGCTAATATATCAATGACTAGAATGATGTGCCAATGGATTACATTGCCTTCGAAATTTAAGAACCCAGAGTTGAAATATATCGATCAATAATAGCATCATTTAGTGCTCAAGGATGGTAAGCCCGAGTCAGGTTTGATCAGTTTACAGTTTTATACTACTTGCAGGGGTTTAGCTGTGCTAAATTGCAGCTTTTGTTGAGAGTAGATCTGACGGTTGATTACTAAAGTTCTGGTGAAGTGCCAAGATGGTATTGATGCATTGTTAAGTGTTAAATATGGAAGCCGTGCAGTTGCAGATGCTCTAAATTTGCGGGATTTTTTAATGGTCATATGACAACATCTAAAGAAAATATTGCACTAAAATATTATTACAGGTTTTTTTATGATGATTAAGCCTGTTGAGGAGGTGTTTTGCTCTAATGACTAGATCTGTGAGAAAATTATTACAAATCTGATGACTAGATCTGTTACAAAATTATATACTATGAAGTTGTCTTGTGGACTCCAAGGATTAAAAGTAGATAATAGAATACATTCTAATTTAAACTCACAGAGAGTGCAGACAAATCTAATTGGGTCATCCAAATAATCTTTTACACCAATGAAAACTAAGAATTCATTTCATGTCCAAATAGAATTTTGAGCTGGTTCAGTGTGGTCATCATTTCCGTAACATAATCATGTTTGTGTTCACTAGGGAATATGTCAATTCTAGTAAAATTTCATGTACTACCCATTAGGGGTGAGCAAAAAAATCCGAAAAACCGAATTGATTGAAACCGAACCGGTCTATTCGATTTCGGTTTGATATTCTTAAAAAACTGATAGTTTTGGTTCGGTTTCGGTTAACCATTTTAAAAAAATCGGCGGTTAACCGAACCAATCGATATAAACAATAATATATATATTTTTATAAATAATATAATTTGTATATATTTTATATTATATATTTTAGTTTTTTTGAAAATCAAATAAAAGATTTTGTTTTATTAGCTACAGACTTTTAAACTATTTAAAATTTGACACGCAGCCTAGGCCAAAGGTAGCCTAGTCGCCTACCGATTTATTAGCTGTAGGCTTTCAGCCTTAAGGTTCAAATTTCAAATTTGTTTTTGAAATTTGAACCTTTTCAATTAAAAGTTCGGCAATCTGCCTCTGCCAAAGTGCTAGACTGCTAGTTTTCTTTCGTCTTTTCCTGCCAACTTTTTTGTCTCATTTTTCTCTTTTTCTCCCACAATCTCACTCTTTCATTTTTTCTGGCTTTCTCTTCTCTTCGTTTTCTCTTCTTCTTTGACTCAGTTCTCACTCCATAGTCCAGACGGCCGTGCGGCTCATGCCAACCACTTGCAGGACAACACCAAGCGGCAGCGTCGTTTGCCGGAAAACAAGTACCAACGACATTACCAGTCTGACAAGCAAGCACCAACGCTGTCTCTCTCTCTTTCAGTTCTCGCTTCTCTCTCTCTCTCTCTCTCACTTCTCTTTGCGTCTCCACTAGGTGCCAGCTGTGCCACCTCTCAGGCTCTCATTCAGGCGACACTCGACGGCAACCACCGGCACCAACTAGTCCAGCACTGACAGCAACCAACGGCACCAGCAGTCTGGCACCAGAAACCACCGACAGTTTTAGTTTTAGTTTTATTTTATTTTATTTTAAGTGTATAAAAAAACTGAAAAACCGAACCACGGTTAACCGATTGCAATAGTTCGGTTTAGGTTTGGATATTTAAAAAACCGATCAGTTTGGTTCGGTTTGAAAAAATACCTCACGCACCCCTACCACCCATGGAAGTGAAATGGAAATATTTTGTGGAAACTATCTCTTGTACTCCATATAGTGCTGGTAGTGTTTATTGGGGAATATGTCGATTTTGGTAAAATTTTGGGTTGCTACCCTTGGAGATGGAAATATGTCGTGGAAATATTAGGGAGGGGCATTTTAAACCATGTTTCCATTAGGCCGGTAGTAGTACTTCTAATCCACATATTTATGCTATTGTTTCTAACTCATCATGTCAGATGCTATCTTGTGTACTCCACATAGAGCTGATAGTTTTGACTGGGGAATATTTTTATTCCAGTGGTATTTTGTGTTGATATCCATGGATATGGAAATATGTTCGTCGAAATTAGAAAATATGTTGGCATTTTAAACCATGCATGGAACTCTGACATGCTTGATGGAGATACAGTTTCTCAAGCTAATGATGCTCTAAAGCTTCTTGATAGAAAAATGAAAGTTGTTAGCAGAACTGCTCCAAAAGCAGTTGCTGGTTCTTTTGGCAGTCGAAAAGTTTTACTGAATTTATTGTTGAAGGGTCTTCATGGTGGAGATTCCTTCTAGAATTTTCATTTTCTTTAACTAATCTGAAAATCAAGCAGGACCTTGTTGCCATTTGTTGCAATGCAGAAGCTCAGTTTATTAGGTGCCGTTTGGCGAGTCTTTTTTAAAGATCTTCTGGAAGATCTGACATGTAAAAGACGTAGTGGGCTTTTACATAAAGATCTTGGCAGCCCACAGACTGTTTGGTTGGAGGCATGTCTTTCTACGTGAAGGCAAGATGGTGAAAGACGAGAAGCTTCATTTCTAGCTTCCTAAAATAAGCTTGAATCGAGCTTATCGCATCTTTTCGGGGCGGTGTCTTTCGGTGGCTAGATCTTCTCCCAACCAAACAGGAAAAGACGAAAATGCGGGCTGTGGGCTGCCGGGCTAGATCTTCCCCCAAAATGCGAGTTTTGTTTTGATAGGATGGTGACAGTTATTCTCATCGCTGCTTTCATTGCACTGGTAGTTCATTTGGTAGTGAAAAGATTCTAACAAACTTGTTGGCGAAGGGTCTTGATGGTAGAAGTACTTCTCGAATTTGCATGCTTGTAACTGAACTCAAAAAACAAGCTAGGCATTTTTTTTTTTTATGTTTCTTCTGCTAGTACAGTTATGGTACTGAGGGTTTTACTTGGGTCATTTGGCTTGAAGATGGTTATTTTTTGTTGACCACATAATGCTATCATGGGTTGTATGCTGACTCATTTCAAATAAGAAATTTCATTTATGCTGTGTTAGATTTTTGGCATGGCTTCCAGCTGTCTGCTCTACAGGTATGAGTGAACAAATGTGTCTTGGAATTTGTAAAATGACGGTGATGTTGTTATTGAGGATTCTAGATGTTTCATTTGTCTTGAAGATGGTGCTTTTGTTTTTTTTTTTTTTTTGATCAATAACAAGAAACTTTATTAAAACTTATGAAACTTTAATTACAAGAGGGAGGTAAACTATCTTTAACTCCCCCACCAACAAAATACAAAGAAAACAAAATTAGAAATGAGCCCCAAACAAAAGAACCCCTAATCACCTCTTGCTTGGTAACCCATCAGCAAGTGAGTTAGCAGTTCTCTTCACCCATCTGTATTTCACCTCAATGTCCCTAGTCAACCATTAAAATCTTTTCCTTTCATTGCTGTAGTTCCACAAACCAATGTTGTCTTCCTTTAGCCATCTCATCCAGTGTTTTAAAAGCGCAAGGCGCAAGGTGAGGCACGTGCCTTTTTAAACAAGGCTCAAAAATTAAAAAAATCTAAAAATAAAAAATGCCAAAAAAATTCAAAAAATTATAAACATAATATTGATAAAAATATAAACTTAAATTTTAAAATAAATGTTTTATAAAAAGGAAGAAAGACGGTTCAGCCCAGGGTCAGAACTTTTAGGCCCAAAGTATAGTTGGGGTAGGTGCCAGCTCAGAATTGATGCCATTTCACGGGTAGGCTTTGGTGTATGGAGTGGGGGTTTTTGACATTTTGAATGTTTATAGATCTGTAGTGGAATTCAGAAATCTGCATTGGGGGTGTCCATACTTTTCCGTTAAAAAAACCTATTATCGAAAATTAAAATACATAAACATATTATGTAAAGCATATTTAAATGATAATTTAAAAACGAAATCAAACATATAAAACATTTTCAAGCATATAAAACCCACAATCCCTTTTTTTCTCAATTACATTACATCAAGTAGCTAATGTGACATATTACATTCCTAATTCTATGAGCCGCCTTTGTGCCATGCCCCTCGAGGTTAGGCCAAACAAGTCCATGTTAAGGTCTTAAATTCTTAGTTTTCACACAAAAAATAATGATTTTATAGTTTTAATTGATTTTAAGAAGATACTTTATTTGGATAAATGAATGGACAACATTACCAAATAGGGGGGGGGTTCTCGAAGCGTACATGGATAAGGGACTTCGAGTCGCCTTTATCAGACTGATTGATGACTTTTATCGTTATACATGGATATTTCCTATGTGTACTAGAGACGAAGTCCCAAAGATTATAATGGACTTCCAGAGGATGCGTTCACATAATTTCATGTTGAGATTCGGATTTTTCAATTAGATAACGTGAAAGAATATTTCCATGGTGAGACTATTGAATTTTTTGCTTCTCATGGACCCCTTCGCAAGAGTTCATGTGCAAGAACACCACAACAAAATGGTGTTGCTGAAAGAAAGAATAGACACTTTGGAGTAGCACAAGGGATGATGCATATGAATGTGCCAAAACGTTTCTAGGTAGATGCTGTACTTGTTGTTGAATATGCCATCAATTGCATGCCCTCTAGAGTATTGAACTACATATCCTCCTATCAATTGTTGTTTCCTTAGTCCCCTCTATTTTCCATCCCTGAGTGTTTGGTTGTCGTGTCTTTGTGCATTATTCGTGGTAAGTTGAACCCTTGGTCTATTCCATTTATCTTCCTTGGGTATCCCTCCTCTCAAAAGTGGTACCAGTGTTTTAATCTTGTTGGTCATATGTACTTTGCCTCTATGGATGTTTCCTTCTTCAAGTTTTAACCACTTTACCTTGCTTCTCCTTAGGGGAGAGT